GAATGTTTATGGCAACACAATTCACAATTGCAAAGATGTGGAAACAATCCAAGTGCCCATCAATACATGAGTGGATTAATAAAATGTGATATATGTGTACCGCGATATATGGAATACTACTCAACCACAAAAAGCAATGGTGATCCAGCACGTCTTATATTATCGTGGGTAGAGCTGGAGCCCATCCTTCAAAGTGAGGTATCACAAGAATGGAAAAACAAGCACCACATGTACTTGCCATCAAATTGGTACTAACTGATCAACACTAAGGTGCTCACATGGTAATAATATTCACTGGGTGCCAGTCAGGTGGAAGGGCGTTGGGGGTGGGTTGGTAAACTCACAACTAATGAATGCGGAGCACACTGTGTTGGGGAAGGGCACACTTGTAGCCCTGGCTTGGGAGAGGCAAAGACATTATATGTAACCAAAATAACTTGTATCCCCACAATATTCAGAATTTTAAAAAAAAATCTGCCATACAGACAATGCTAAAATAAATAAATAAATAAATATCTGAGCCTGAGTTGCTGTATTATTCCTCCAACTCTCATCACATCCCATGTATTTTCGAGTGTAAAAACATTGCATCCAAGACATTTATATAGTCTGGCAAGATGAAAAGCAGCAAAATGACTAAGTACATTTTAAAAGTGAATAATATGTGGGAACCACCTTTTTTAAGTCTTGAAAAGCAAAATAATAAGTAAGATTCAGTGCTTTGCACAGTAGAGACACCTAGCGTTTGTTAATTTGCCACAATGAAAGAATGCTTTCTGCTACATAAATATATTATTCCCTTACATTTGATTATTTCTATCCATAATAATTTATGTATAATTTGTGAGTTTCAAAAAAAAAAAATGTATGCAGACTCAACATTCCATAACTGATTTTCGGTCCCACGGAGCACCCTGTCATCCGATTAGCCTAGCGTAATAGTGACTTTTGCTCAGTAATACTTTTCTTTTTGTTGGATGTTATAACTTTGTGTGTGAAGCCATTTAAAACAGCTGCCTTACAAGAAGCCTCTTGGGACAATCATGAGTCTCCAAATGAATGGGTTGGTGACAGGTCTGGCTTTGGACTTTTTACTTTTGTTGGAACTATCAACTTAGGAATTTGTTATCAGATAATTAATCCAGAAGAGGAGGGTGCAAAGGTTGATTCAGTCTTCAATTAGACAGTGTGAGGTACGGCGTAAGATAAGAGAATCTGCCCATGACCAAAAAGGCCACAAGAAATCACAGCTTCTTGTCTAGCATTCATAGTTTCCTTTTATAGAGCTGCAATTTACCCCTTTAATCATGTGGATGGTTTTTACTTTTGTTTTCTATTGATAACAGAGAATAAATCTGCCCCCTTTTCCATAGGACAGCTATTAAGTGTTCTTTCTAGGTTTTTCTTTTCCATTTTCCATATTCTAATGTCCTTAAACACTCTTCCACATAATAACATTTTTTAGCAATTTGTTTACATAAGTTAAATCTTTTAATTCTTACCCCAAGTCTGTGATACAGTATTTTTATTATGTCCATATAATAGAGGCTCAGAAGGATGAAGATCTCACAAGCAATGAATGGTCGAACCAGAATTTATCTGAGACTGTTAATGTCTGGTGTTTAGGCTTTGAACCACTATGTCTTCCCACCTGTTCTTTATATGGCATATTTTCTGGGCTTCTTGCTCTTTAATCTTCTGTGGATGCATTCATGTATTGTCAAACACCTGTGCCATAAGACAGTACAGAAAAATGAACTCAAGACTTCAGGTATGTACTAGCCTAGAGTGGGCCAACTCAGGCATGAGCTGCCTGTCTGCACATCTAGGAAACGCAAGAGTGTAGTGCAGATTTTTACTTTTACATCTTGGCTTATCTTGTACAGGTATTAAATTGGGTCTTACCATTTTATGCACATGTGTTCGTATGCATGTGCCTGCGTGTACGTGTGTATGTATTTACAAATGTATGTATGTATATATACATGCATTTTCCACTTTAAAAGAACTTTACATATTTTCTTATTAAACAACACTTTGTCATCTTTAGTATATTCTAGCTTCATCATATTTTTTACTTGCCTCTTTGCTGTTCTTCCCTTTTTTGTGCCATAGACAAATTCAGTAAGAATGCCTTCAGTCTGCATTCAAGGTATTGATTTTTCAAGGTGTTCTGTACAATCGCATTGGATTCTTGGAACATTTCAATTGAAATTTCTTGGTCTGTTACTTGGTCAGTGTGGCAAGTCAAAATTGCATGATTTGTGAATTTCTTTTTTTTAGAACATTCTTTCATTCTTGAATTATATTTATTTTTAAAGCTGCTCCCTATGAGATTATGCCTGTCTTTTCTCTGAAGGTTTCAGATTTGCTATGCCTGCTGTCCAAATCTCCTAATCTCAAATTGAGTCGCAGTTAGTTTTCCTTCCCTCTCTGAGTCATGGTGACAAGTGTTGAGTTCTTGTTCTTGGGAACAGCTAAGAACATTGCATCCTAGCCTAACTCCACCTTCCTCATTCCTGCCAGCATTCGCCAAGTTGCTAAGCATGTGTCACCAGCACTAATTTTGCACTAGTTTAATAAGAAGATACAATTACAGTCTACTTTAGATTCATATCTGCCAATAGCTCACCATGTGTTTTTGTATGTCAGTGAATTTCTACAGGCTTTATCTTCCTCATCTGTAAAAAATGGAGTTGGGCTATATCCTCTGAGGTTGTGTTAATTCCAATATCTATGCTTGTAAAGTATACCAAATCACTTTTAGAAATTTCAACTTAACTTTAAAAATTAAAAAAAAAAAAAAAAAAACAGTACTCAGCTTTGCTCTTCTGAGCTGCATCTAAGACTGACATTCATCTGATACGCGCTTGTACAGTCGCCTTAGTAATTCAAATATGGAAGGACTTCCACCTGGCACCCCGGTGGGCCTGGTGTCTGTATTCCCCCACCACGGTTGCAGCCAGCTCACAGGACAGCAGATGATTTGCCAGAGTGACCCTGCCATGGTTGCTTTTGGTGCGTGTTATGTGCGGATTACATCATACTCCTTCTACCACTACAATAGTTGAATGAAGCCCTTTTTGAGCATATTTCCTATATTCCTGTTACTGTGGGGTTTCTAAGATCAGTAATTCACATATCCAAAGATTGTTCCCAAGCTCAAAGTAAATGACTTCATTTCAGAGTTCAATTTAAACCCAATTAAAGAGAAAGTAATTTGAGTCCAGTATCTTTACAAGGCTGATCCCTTAAATGTTGTGCATCTCATGAAACCCTTTCTGTTGCCGCTCTTTTAGCAGGTATCCTTTCTGTTTCCTAGGTGAATGAAATTTACCACGATGAGTCCCTTGGAGTGCATATAAATGTGGTCCTGGTGCGCATGATAATGCTGGGTTATGCAAAGGTAAATGCCTTAAAATATGTGAACTATAAATATTGGAAACTGGGTTAGCAAACCACAGACTAAACTGCCAAAGCTGTAGCGAACATGTGGCATAGACAGACCCCAATTGCTCTCAGTTGAGGAGACACTGCCACCATGAGTGGAGACTTCCAGATCTGAGCGGATAACGAATGATTTTTGTGCTATTATTTACTTATTTATTTCTGTTTCCTGGAGATGTAGATAGTTATCCTGACTTTAGGCATGACGGTATGAATGGAAACAAATAGATAACATTATGAAAAGAGAGAATTTCCTTAGCCTATCATTATCATCAAGTTTTCAATTCATTTATTCATTAAAAATGTTTACGTTAAGTGCCTACTAAGTGGCAGATGCTTTCTAGATGCTTGGAATATATCAATGAAGAAAAAAGACAAAGATATTTGTCCTCTCTTGACTTGTTAAAAATAACATTTTACACATATATCTGTCCACTTAAGAAAAGTGAAGTATATGTGAATATTTTTTCACTTAAAAGAGCTTAAAACAAGAAGTTGGATCAAAATGCACACAGTAGGCATTTCATGTAATGTTAATTTTAGCTGGATTTAAAATGTTATTGGTTGTGTCCTTGTCCTTGGAAATTATGAAATGGTGAAAAGGTTTTCTCCTTTTGAGGAGTAAATGTAGGGGAAATGACTAACTTGATCATTTTCTTGATGTTTAAAAGTATATGTCCCTCTCCCATAATTAGTTCTCCTGATTATGAAATACTAATGAATTTGGGCATATAGGAAATAGGAAAAATTCTTATGTTTGCATTTCAATACATATTTGACATCCACTTATCATTTTCTAATGATAGGGTGTCATTGATCTTTAGTTTATCCCTCCCATAAACCTGACCTACTTTGTGTTGCCAACAACAAATACAAGTTAACTCCAGTTGCAGACAACAGCCTTCAGTTGGTTGTTAAATCATTTGCTTGGAAAAGTATGTGACCAGCATATAACAAACCATGCTAATTTTATTAAGAATGTAAACACTGATAATAACATTTGCTGAAGTATAACAAAAATCTCAGCCTGTCAGCCAAGTAGGGAGTAATTTTGGGTTCCAAGTTCAATTTCTCATTCCATCAGAACTACTCTGGGAAGTGTGGCTCCTGGGTTCTTGAAGGATGGGCCCTTTCCCCTCTGAACTTTTAACTCCTGACCATAATGTGATAGTAGCAACATTCCAAGGAATTTAAATTCATCTGTTGGAACTACAAGGTAAGAATCCACCCCTCTTCATTACCATGACATTAAAAAATGGTAGTTTTTGTTTGTTTGTTTGTTTTTAGTATAAAGTTAATATAATTTGACTTCTCCCCATGAACTAAGATTTGACTAGCTTTGCCAGGTCACGGAAGAACTTATATCCCACATGTTGATGAATTCTGGACTAAAGAAAGAAAGAAAGAAAGAAACAGAAAAATAAGATCTTTTACTTTCGCATCTCTGGTAAAAAAAAGTCTCAAGCCAGAATCTTTCCCAATATTTTTGTTCTTTATATCTATGAAACTCAAGTCTAAGCTGAATCAGAAAATATTTAGATTGTTAAAAGTTTTACTTAAATGATTCATATTAAATTGCTTCACAATAGCAAATCCTAGCATCAGACATTCTCATACGTGGCGTCAGTTAATTTTCACACTGGTAATATTCATCGTCATAATGATGTCTTTCATGGGCATTTAGAATTCCCAAACCAATGTAAATCTAAATAAGCCCCAAATAATATTACTGAATTACTGTTTAAGTACTATAACCCCAAATTTCAACTGCAGAGAAAGTTAATAAAGGAAGTCTTTGGGAAAATACTATGTGTGTCTTTAACATGTTGTTTCCTCTTAGTCCATCAGCCTCATAGAAAGGGGAAACCCATCCCGGAGCTTGGAGAATGTGTGTCGCTGGGCTTGCCAACAACAAAAATCTGATCTCAACCACTCTGAACACCATGATCATGCAATTTTCTTAACCAGGCAAGACTTTGGACCTGCTGGAATGCAAGGTATTATCATCAATATGCAGAAGACAAACTTCAGGGCATGACTTTTTTAAAAGTAACCCTAAATCAGGCAGTCTGTTCAAATATTCAGGTCTTCACCACCACTTCCCACAATGTGCCAGCCACGCACACATTTTCTTTCTATTGCTTCCAGTGACTTCTGCGGAATTCACAATGTTAAATGCCACTTAAATACCATAATAAACTATACTTGCCTTTAAATAATGGTTGTGTGTTTGGGGTATGGAGGGGATGCTGTAAAATGCAGTGCGCTTTCTACTAACTGTTTGGAATGAGAAAAGAGATGCCATGAGAGACGACTGCTGCCAAAGAGCTTTCTTCCAAAGTCAGCTAACATTTATCCAGTAAATTCTGATGTGGACTTTGGAAAAAGCAGACTGATGGTTTTCTTTTCAGTGTTGATGGAATTTCTGGCTCCCTTCATCAATACCACGATAGGAAGGACCATTTTACTAAAACAGAAAGACAAGGTTTAGCTGGTGGGCGGAAGAGGATGGTAACCCCAGGCAGTTGCTTCCCTTAGGAAAGAAGAAAAGGCAGACCCAGTGAATCTTTTTAGACACCATTACCTGTGACTTTCCCAAGAGAATGTGGGATAATGCTAGCGGGGAAATAATACTGCTCTGTTTCCTGAAAAACTTTTTTTTTTTCCCCCTCTAGGCAGAGGTCCAGCAGTAATTCTTAATGGGTTTTCTCATAAAATGAAAATAAAAGTAATTGTCATTCTCTACAGGATATGCTCCAGTCACGGGCATGTGCCATCCAGTGAGAAGTTGTACCCTGAATCATGAGGATGGTTTTTCATCTGCTTTTGTAGTAGCCCATGAAACTGGCCATGTGTAAGTCACTGTTGACAGCTATAAAGCAAAAGAAAAAAAAAAAAAAAAAGGTCTTTTCTTTCCTGCTTCTCCCAGTATTGTTTCTACTTTGAGCAGAATGCATACCAGTATGCAATTCTCATCTTTTGCCAAGTGTCAGGAGCTGAACACTGCAAAGAGGTCATGCACTGAAACTAAATGAGTGACTCTGGCTTGCAGAGGCCCTTCTGTGCTTTTCAGAGGAGAAGAAAGGCATTTCTGTCGGATTGCTCTTGATTTCTGTTTCTGTGACTTCTCCAAGAAAGCCATGTTGCCTTAAAATACATATTTCCCAGTACTTATTTTCAAAACAGAAATTAATCAAAAGCTGTAGACCCCCGAGTCTCACTAGTGGGATCTCCTTTGTGTTCTAGGTTGGGAATGGAGCACGATGGACAAGGCAACAGGTGTGGTGACGAGACGGCTATGGGCAGTGTCATGGCGCCCTTGGTGCAAGCAGCCTTCCATCGTTACCACTGGTCCCGGTGCAGCGGTCAGGAACTGAAAAGATACATCCAGTACGTCCCCTGCTGCGTGGCATGACAGCATTAGTTTCATAGCCTACACACATAAAACTGACTCTTAGGACCTCGATCATAACAAAATTCCCAGTAAATGAAAACTCTTGTTGATAATAAATATTTTCTTACGACTCGGAGCATTTGGTACGACAATTCTATAACGTCACAATATTTTAAGCAATAAGCCTAGAATTTAATTTTTAGCTGTAATGTAATTTCCCTTTAGTAAATTCTTTATGGAATCTCTTGACCAATGGTCAAACTTGAGTTGAGGATGAGGAGAAGATGGTCATGTGATTCCGGCGTATTATACCACCCATACCCTATAGTAGACGTGTCAGGACGTGCCCTGGCAGGCCACGTGGGGCTTTAATTAGTGATGCAAATAATCACAACTTTATTATATGCTTAAGTCATACATGGTTTTACTTTCCTGGCATGAATAAGAGTGAAGGGGCTTTTTCTAAATGGAACTGAAACCAAAACTTTAAAATGTATGCTTTTGTGAACTTGCTCCATGATCTGATAAAATGCTAGAGTATAAAAGCTAATATTACTTTTCCATAAGGACACGATTATAAAGAATGAAAATTTAACTACATGCAATATTTTCCTTCCTACAGTTCCTATGACTGTCTCCTTGATGACCCTTTTGAACATGATTGGCCCAAACTCCCAGAACTTCCTGGAATCAATTATTCTATGGATGAGCAATGTCGTTTTGATTTTGGTGTTGGTTATAAAATGTGCACTGCGGTACGTTACTCACAGTTGATGGAGATTTTGCATCTTGAAATCTCTTTGTGTAGCTCCTGCTTGGTGAACTTTACAGACTCACGGGTGCAAATATTAATATAAGAACATCTACCAATGATTTTGTGTTTGTTACAGTTATGTGCTAAAGCTCAATGCTTTAAATATACTCCCTTATTTAATCCTCATGGCAGACTAGAAGGGAGCTGATGTACTTCTGTTGTACAGGAAAAAAATTCATGACTTACAAAGATTAAGCAACATGCTTAAGTCACACAGCTGGTATTTAGGGGAGCTGGATTTGCAATCAAGACTATGAGGCTCAAATCTTTATGCTCTATTCCTCCCATGATTTTTGTGACCTTCAGAGATGACTCTTAAGCCTTAGATGTATTGCTTTGCTTTGGGTTGGTGGCCAGGATTCCATGCATGTGTGACCGTAGGGAAGGCTTGTGCTGGTATTTTCTCCTATAAGAATTGTATGGTACGGCATGGGAGTCAGGAATATGGACACCATGCTCAGACTCGGTGGGTCAGGTCCTGGATCTGACACTGAATCTCCTTGGCTTCGTTTCCTTATATATAAAATGTGAATAATGATAGTATTTATCTCATAGGATTGGTGTGAGGGTTATATTTGATAATGTAATTAAAGTGCTTAGCACAACACGGGCACATGGTAAATGCTAAATGGAACCTATCAAAGCTAGTCTTCCACATAACTATTCAGATTAGATGTATGTTTCATTACATTTCCATGTTGACCTTTAGTAGTTCATTTTGTAAAAGGAAAGGCTTTTTGTATGTTGGAGATAGCTTTGTGTGTTAGAGCAAGAAAAATAAGGATTTTATAGTACCGAAAAGAAATCCATCTGCTGTTTGAAATCTTCCATATACAGCCATTTGGTCTGTCTATAAGATAAACCCTGTGAGCTCCTAATTATAATACAATACCTGTATTAATGTTTTAAATGTGAGAATTTTAAAGCTTGGCTCAATGTTATGGCAAAGTACAATTTCCACATTAAGTAATAGGGATTAGAACAAAAAAATCCAGGTCTAAAAATGGGTACTCATGAAAAAAAATCTATGCACTTAAGTCTGTGTATGGGTAATCAGCAGTGTAGGCAGTACACATGCAGGTAAACAGTTGTTTGATATTTTTCAAAATCTATCTAAAGAATGGTAAGATGCTTACAGTTAGAGAGAAAGAGCAGATGAACAAAGAACGCACACAAATATGTGTGTGTGAGCTTACACAAACATTTGGATATTATAATGTGGCGTTTTAGGAAAATATAAAACATTGTGAAGAATGTGAAAACCAAGATTCTAGTCTGGCTCTGTTACTGTCTTGCTTGTAACCATAACTATAGCCTTAACTTGTAACCCATATTCTTTCAGCCATGAATTGGTATAAGGGTCGAATATATGGAAAGTATTTTATAAGCTATATGACTGTATTATGATACTTTGTTATACCTGGAATACCTCATCTTACACAGAAAATTTGCGAAAATTTTTCTACTTTTAGCCAACTAATTATTATGAGTATTTTTATTATTCGTATGTAACTAACTAGTTCATACCTACAGAGATAAAGAAAAGACGTTTTGATAGCTTGAGAGCTGCTAAACCATTATAATATATCTTCATATTTGCAATGTTCATAATAATTACAAACTCTTTTTAACATTCCAGTACTTTCCATTTGAATACCTGAAAATAGAAACGGTATGGAGAAACATTAAGAGTCAACCAGGGAATCTCAGACAAATCAATGTTTATTATTGTTATTTTAGAAAAGCAGAATAAAAGGATTTTCTACTTGGAATTCTTATGCAGTATTTTTTTAATAACATGTCACAACTTTGGCTATTAAGCAGAAATAAAAATATCCAAGAAACATAGCACGCAGAGACTGTCTGGGGTATATCGTTGTTGCATGTCACGCTATCTGAGGGTTCACTGAGAGTTTGATTCTCTTCCAGTTTCGAACCTTTGACCCATGTAAACAGCTGTGGTGTAGCCATCCTGATAATCCCTACTTTTGCAAGACGAAAAAGGGCCCCCCGCTGGATGGGACCGAATGTGCTGCTGGAAAAGTGAGTATATCTATTTACACAACGAAGGTTTAAGATACGCTGCATAATGATCCTCTTGAAAAGTCTAGAAAATGGTGAAGACAGCTGTACTGTCATTTTTATGAAAACCACATTGCTTGAGGCTTCTTTATGGTAGTGCACTAAGAGAGTGCGTTAGCTCCCTGCCTGCTGAGACAAATTAGCACAAACTTGGTGGCTTTAAACTTCAGCAATTCATTCTCTTAACAGTTCTAGAGGCCGGGAGTCTGAAATCAGTTTCATTGAGTTGAAATCAGTGTGTAGGCCGGGCCGTGCTCCCTCCAGAGGAGAATCTGTTCCTTGCCTCTTCCGGCTTCTGGGGCTGCCCACGTTTCATGACCACTCTAGTCTCTGCCTCCATGGTCACATTGCCTCTACCTTTTCTGTACATGTCAAACCTCCCTCTGCCCCTCTCTTATAAGGATGCACACATAATGGCATTTAGGCCCCACCTGGATAATCTGGGATAATCCCCCCATTTAAAAATCCTTAATCTGCAAAAACCCTTTTCCCAAATAAGATAACATTTACAGGTTCCAGGGATCAGAACCTGGTATCTTTGGGACCACCACTCAGCCCAGTGCAGATGGAACAGGAAGAAGCAACTCAGCAGACCATCCGGCCCCCTGCTGGTGGGATCTGATTTACTTGCTGGCATCCCGTGCCTTGTGAAAGCTGCCCAGAAATAAAGTCATGTGAATTTATACAGAAGATTTGGCCTTGCTCCTTGGGGACAGATGCCCAGAGGTTTTAAATCTCAAATCGCGTAGTCAGGATTGAATACTCAGAAACTGGCTGAGTGCCAAGCTATGCTACTCATAAGGGCAAAGCTCCCAAAACAAAGGCATGCTAAGAACTCAAGTTGAAGAGCCTTGACTAGTTTAGAAATAAGATATTGTAGACAGGACCAAAAGCTGGCAAGAAGATTTACATAGCTTTTAGTTCCTTTAAAGCTCGATTTCAAATGTGTATAAACTTTTCTTGTGATGAGAATTATATGCATGATAATAATAAAACCTCTCATTGTAAGTGTTGGCACTCTTAGGCACTCTGCCAAGTACATGATATACAGTGTCCTGCTTTGGGAAAATTCAGTATTACAAACTTCCAACTAAAAACAAGAGCAATAATGAGTTGATTCATTTTCGCTTTTAAAAAAAGTATGCTATAATCAACTCTTAATATCCAACTTCCTTGAATGAATATATTTGTATTATATTTAAATTTATAAAAGTTGAGTTTAAAAAATACTTTTATTATATATTGTATTAAAAAGCAAATCAAAATGTTAGAAAAATAACTAGCATCTTTTGAGCACCTATTGTAGGTTGGGCACCATAGACTAGGTACCTCTATAGTATCAGGGTTCTAGTAGTCCCACTTAATTTCTTCATGGTCACATGGCCTGAAACTATTCACAACCTTTCTGGGCTTCAATTTTTCTCATCTAAATGGCAAAGATCATATATCTGACCTATCTATCTCTCCGAATATTACGAATGAAAAATTTAAAAAGTGCTTTGAAAGCTGACTATGTTACGTTAATTATTTTCTAAGTTAAGACATATATTTTCATGTTATCATTTTAAAGGGGAACATATTGCCCTCAAAAATCCTAATATGATATAGGTAGTGAGAGATGATGGGTAGAATAGTACTTACTTTGCAAGTTGGGTGCTTAGAAAATTCTTATTGATTATGATGTTTAACACTCACTGGTGAATGTATCACAAAAACTTATCTGAGTGAATGTTATATTTTTTCATTTTAATTTCATACTTGAAAAATGTGAGTCTAAATTACCCTTCCAATAGGGCATCTTAATTGCTTTTGATAATTTTAAGTGCATCTACACCTGGAAAATAAAAAGCAGAGGAAATGAAGCCCTTCAAATAGGTGGTTCTTGTATGACAGCTTCTGCTTTAGTGTCCGCGTGATTTTCGTAATTACCTTTTGCCATTTTTTAAGTGGTGCTATAAGGGCCATTGCATGTGGAAGAACGCCAATCAGCAAAGACAAGATGGCAACTGGGGGTCGTGGACCAAGTTCGGCTCCTGTTCTCGGACATGTGGAACTGGTGTTCGCTTCAGAACGCGCCAGTGCAATAATCCCACGTGAGTCTAGTCCTTGTAATTCTTGTTATTTTTGGATGGACCGTAAGAAATACTCCAATATTGTGTTATCAGTATTCTGTTTCAGAAAGTGCATGTGAAATACAGGGCATGCAAATAAATTGTTCACAGCTCAGAAACCAGTGTCTCTTTTGGATAGATCTCCATTTATTAATTTTGTGAAGAGTAGTCAGTCGGGGATGAAGATGAGAAACTGGAAGGAAGATAACAGATTTTGGAAGAAATTACGGTTTAGGAGTATTTAGGAGCTCAGCAGGGAAAGAGGATGTCTGTGCCCTCAGGGCCCGGGCACTGTGAGCTGTGAGATCCGCTGCAGGAAGCAGGCAGCGCAGGGAGGAAGCAGTGCCCAGCTCGTGGATGCTCTCTCCAGCCGGGAGGATGCCATTGCTTCCGAGGCGTGGTAGGAGGCCAGGGAACTGTTGGGGGAAAAGTTATCCATTCATTCACTCAGAATAAATTTACCGAATCCCTGTGTTATACTCAGCAAACTTTATTTTATGAAGAAAAAAAACCTGAATTATTAAATTTAGGACATTCTTCCTTGTCTAGGGTTTACTACATGAGCAGCTTTTTCTCTCTGTTTCAAACAGGACGGCTGTGAGCATGTCTTTTATAAAGACCGTTTGGTGCCGCATACCTGTCTCCATAGGAAGAGATGATGGTAGTATGAGTAGAAATAAGAAAAACAATAAAAATTCTAGTAGTAATAGCATCTAAGTTTCACCATGAGCCTGAGTCCTTCTAAGGGCTTCCAATATGTTAACTCATTTAATCCTCACAATTGTTCTTCAAGGAAAATAGTATAATTATTTGCATTTTACATACGAGGAAACTGAGGCATAGAGCTATGATCAAAGTTTCTTTGAGTTGCATCTACGTGGTTTCGTCCATATCCATGCTTTTTATTTCTTTATATACTTTTACCATGCATTTAAAATATACTGTTTGAAAAGCTTATTTAAGTTGAGCCTGAGGATTTTTTTTTCCCCCACCCAGCAGGGAGAGAAGGGTGCTTTTGGAAAGCGACTGAAATTAGGAAGTATGAGTTCATTCACTTTGTGCTGGCAGCTCAGGAGCTCTGGCTTTCTGCCCTCGGGCACCGTGCCTGCAAGCTTCAGCTGCTGGCCCGAAGCCAAAAGGCCTTTCTAAATGTTGCCTTTTCTTTAGGCCCATCAATGGTGGTCAGGATTGTCCTGGCGTTAATTTTGAGTACCAGCTTTGTAACACAGAAGAATGCCAAAAACACTTTGAGGACTTCAGAGCGCAGCAGTGCCAGCAGCGAAACTCACACTTTGAATACCAGAATGCCAAACACCACTGGTTGCCATACGAACATTCTGACGGTGAGTAGACTCCCGCTCTTCTTCCCGCTGTGTGGATGGAGACTTAGGGTTTAAGTTTTGCCAACACCGATCCTGTGGACTCCTGATCCCTACTTGGTAACTTAGGAAATTTGGTGCTTATCGGGGTAAGTACTCCTGGGTTTCCAAGAAGAAGGCTCAAGTGCTCCTTCCTCTAGAGAGGCAAGGATTGATTGTTCCTGGCACGTAGCACTATCACCATCTCCAGCGAGAAGACCAGTGGAAAAGGAACGCCTGGGAGAGATGTTGGATTTCTTGATTCAGCTGAAAGCCCTCTGCTAGGAAATGCTTCTGGAATATTGTGATCTCTCCTTTCTGAACAACTGGAGAAAAAATAGAGTTCTTTGACATTTGAGTTAGGACCAAGAAAAAGGCCATTGTTTAATAACAAAAGACACTTCATAACCTTTTACTTTTCTATTGTAAATTAGTTTCTGAAAAATATACTTAAAGTTTTCGTTTAATGTTTCACTTCTTCTGAATTTTTGGTTAAATATGTTCAAGTGGCAACTTCTTGGCGTATTTCTTATTTAGGTGAATAAAAGGAAATAGTTACAGGATTATCATGTGATATAATACACTACTGAGTTCAGTTTAAAGCTGTTTTAAAGAAACGGTGGATACATGCAGGAATCGAAAGTTGCAATGCATTACGAAGAAATGTATTATTTATTTTTTATCTATTTTGGTAAAATGAGTTGCATCCTATAAGAAGCAAGAGCTTTGCGAGGTGGTTGACTCAAACCAAAGAGGCATTCTTTCAATAGTACTAAAACTAAGCTGGTTTTGAATTGAAGTTTATTAAACAGCTGTGTTGAAATCTAGGGTTGTCGTATCCCAGTTTAGATGACAAATCATATGGTCACCCCAGCGAAAACCAGTCTGCTGAATATGCATACTTTTCTCCTGCTCCTCATTTTATTTATTTATACAGTATTCCTTTTGTTTTCAGAAAACCACATTGAAACTTGATATTTAAAAATCAAATAAACTATGCTGTTCAAACATTCCATTTTATGTAAATAGTTTTTTGGGTTTTTTTATCCTCCATCTTATGCAGCCAAGAAAAGATGCCACCTTTACTGTCAATCCAAAGAGACTGGAGTTGCTGCTTACATGAAACAACTGGTCCACGACGGAACACGCTGCTCTTACAAAGATCCGTACAGCATCTGCGTGCGAGGCGAGTGTGTGGTGAGTTCAGATCGCTTCCCCAAAGGCTTCCTACAGCATAGGGCAATTCCACGTTGACTGTTATTCATCCGCATATTTAAAAAATTTTTAAACCATTTCTTATCTGTGAAATCACATGGTGGTGGACTCTGAATAATTCAGTAACTAAAATAAATTCAGGAGAAACTGTGCTTACTAAAGTCAAACTAGTCACTGGCAGAATCAGGGTTTAAATAGTTTTCCTAATTTCTAACCTTTTCCGTGTAACTCTAGATTGGGAACACAACAACTTGGGAACAATGCATTTGCTTTGAGTATTTTACTAGCACTACTGTTAAAAGACAAGGTCTTTTTCAAAAAATACACTATTGAGTATATCTTTTGTTTAATTCACAATTGCGAAGATGTGGAAACAACCCAAGTGTCCATCAGTACGTGAGTGGATTAGTAAACTGTGGTATATGTATACCATGGAGTACTATTCAGCTTTAAGAAACAATGGTGACATAGCACCTCTTGTATACTCCTGGATAGAGCTGGAGCCCATTCTACTAAGTGAAGTATCCCAAGAATGGAACAACAAGCACCACATGTACTCACCAGCAAATTGGTATTAACTGATCAACACATAAGTGCACATATAAGAATAACATTTATTGGATGTCGGGCAGCGGGGAGAGGAGGGAGGAGGGGACGGGTATATGCATACACAAAGAGCACGATACGCACCATCCAGGAGATGGCCATGCTTGAAGCTCGGACTTGGCGGGGAATGGGGGGCAAGGGAAACATACATAACCTAAACATCTGTACCCCTGTAATATGCTGAAATAAAAAAAAAAAAGATAATGAGACATCTTTTTCTTCCTCTCTCACCTTCCAGTTTATTCTGAGTTTAAACTCTAAACTCCACATCAGAACAAAAGGAGTGGAGAATCAAAAACAATGTTTATTGCTCTATTTAATCTTTTTGAAAAATGCAGTTCATTGTGTTCTTTATGTTCATAGTTGATATAAAATTATCTTTATTAGCTGAAACACTGCCCCTCATGGCTATGTACTTATCAATTCAGCAAAATCGAAAGCGTTACATTAATGAGTCTCAGTGCTCGGATGCCTCATGGTCAAACTCAAATTTCCCTGACAGTGTCTTGTTCATCTTTCCCCTCCCACAGTATCTAGTGTATTAAATGCATGTGGTGTTTTTATTTTCCCTGCCCAACTTTCATTCTTAAGTTTATCAGTGCGGCGGTGTATTGCGTATGTTTATCCTACAATTTACATTAAGGGCCTGCCCCAGTTCAGAAAACCTTCAGTAGCTCCCTGTTAAATTAATAATGTGAAAATGTAAACTCTTCCTGGTGTTCAAGACCTTCTGCCGCCAGTGCCGTGTAGAACTTTGACGCTCTTCCCCTATCTTGCAAGACTAGCCTTCCACTGGTTTAAATAGGGGGTTAAATATTGACCTCTGAACCCATTTTCCGTGAACGTACAACCTCCATGGCTCTCTTATGACCCCTCCGCATTCCTAAAATGCCCTCCCATTCTCTCTGTGTTCCTTCAGGGCCCTGCAAAAGTCTCCACCATTTCTGTGAAGTTCTATCTAACCAGCTTTGAAGATTGCACTAATATACGACTAACTATATTATTATTCATCTTTATAAATATGAAAGCAGCAAGGGAAAAGCACCATGTTATTGTTTTGTGGTCTCCCCAACATCAGCTACATCTGTGTTCAATACATGTTTGATGATTAAGACAAGTTATGATGGGGTAAATACTTCATTAGACAGTGGAAAAACTATCCTTTATTACCTAGAGTGCACGGCATTTGATTTCATACTAGTTTGTTCTTTAAAAGACTGAGATGTTAAAAATCATGACTACGATGAAAGTTTGGTGCAAACTGGCTGACTGTGGACCATGATTCAACAAATGATTCATCATTACGGGGGATGTTGACCGACGTCTACTTGGTGCACTGAAATTAGCCACGTTTAACATCTTCTCTCCCTAGAAAGTGGGCTGTGATAAAGAAATTGGTTCTAACAAGGTTGAGGATAAATGTGGTGTCTGCGGAGGAGATAATTCCCACTGTCGGACCGTGAAGGGGACATTTACCAGAACTCCCAGGAAGCTTGGTAAGATGAGGTCTCTCATGAATTTAATATCCTTCTCTAGGATTTATACTTTTTGAGACTTCTTATATTAGTGCTGCATTTTCTCTACGAACATAACCAAAAAATTAGCTGCTGATTTATTTTTATTCAGATTACCTTTCAAACCTTTGACTGAATTCATACTCCAGAGCATCCATGTTGAAAAAATTATCAACTAAATTTAGATAAGGAGCATATAAAGTCAGTATAAATTATAGTAGTTAGCTAAAATCTGTTGTTTTATTTCATTTTGCATTTTTAATCGAATGCAGATCTAATTACTAGAATTGATGTTTGTTTTGAATTCCTGTTGCACATAAATTTTTGACCAGGAATTAAAAAAAAATCACAAAACTTTAGATACAATGTTCTAAACATTACATTAGTTTCACCACTCTTATTTTAAAAGTGAAAAATTTTATCCTATTTATAAATCTATGAACCTAGGATATATATTTCACATGATTTTTACAAATCTATTTTAAACAAAATTGAGGTACAATTGAAAAATAACCTGACATATATATGCTCATGAGTGTGAACTTTTGTACTTGTTACCTAGTCAATAACTTGGACTTAGACACTCACTGAAGGTTCCAAATGTGGAACAAAAAGCTATCCTCTTGCAACAAATCATATGCAGAATTATCACTAGTTTCATAATATTCATTGGAATTTTCATAAAACATTTGGATACATACATTTATTACTGAATAATTTGTTTTTGTAACATATTCAGTTATTCAATAAGGATTTATTGGACAAATGTCAATACATGTCGTAGGATAACAGAAAACAAAACAGAAACAAAGAAAGAAATTTGGTTTACTTTACATTGTCACAGTAGTAATTTTTCCTTTTATAGAGTAAAAAAGTTAGTCTTCATCCAAATGGACTAATTCTTTTAGCCCTTTTTACTCCCATTAGACACCCAGCTTGTTAGCTCTGGCTCATTCCATACATCCCAGCTTTGCTCTTTGATATATTTAAGGGGCCAGAGCTAAATGACTATATTCTAATGTGCTTCTCTCAGGCATTCCCTACTCTAGTTACCAATCTCTTTGGTATTCTTGTGTGATAGATTATGTTTTGCACTTTGAAAATGTTTAAAAAGCAAATATTGCCATTTCTGGCTTATTGCATTATTTTAATAAATCAGCATTCTAATTATATACATATATTACGGTTTTGGTGAAATCGAGTGTAATTTTCTCCGTCTTACTGTGAAATAATGTCCTGTGCTTTCTTTATTGGAGTTATTTATTATTCTTTTCTTTTAGATGTAAAATAATTCATTTTGTTTTCTTTCCAGAGTGAATTAATATAAAGAAAAAAGTTTTTGTCATGATCATTCATTCCATATTATGTGTGATATGAGGCAGTGATACTGTTTTTCAGATACCCCAGAAATTATTCTAAACCTGCAAATCAGAGTCAAAAGATCAGGAGAAAATTTTCATCGGTCATGCAGATTCAAAGTGTTCAAAGATAATCTAACGTCCATTTCTTTGCAGTAATGTTGTCATCAGAGTCATTCAATAGACTAATTAACCTTTTCCAACAGGGAAACATTTAAGCAAGAGGTGCCATAAAGAATTCAAGTTGCTGGAAAATGAAATCTGCAAGTATTCAACTTCCAATCACCTCCATTGTTTGCATTCATGCTTAGTCTTACTTTCATTGACTATTAACAGTTTATTGGCGTTAGCTAACTATGATAAATGTGTTTTGACTTCAACATATAAAATTGCCAAACATATTGTATATCTTACCTCATAAAATATATATAGCTTATAGGATAGTCAATGAAACAGCAAGACTTTGATAAACATGAAACTTCCACTAATTAAAGACATTCTGTTTAAGGGAAGACGAGAGGTGCTTTCACTTTACCCAAAGGAGCTCGCGATGTTTCTCTTGCTGAGACAAGAGAAGCTAAAAATGTACTGGGTAAGTTGTAGCAAACTGCAGAATGATGGGCATCCATAAATGACATCAAGCTGTTTTGCTGTACTTGGCATCTCAAGCATGTGACTTCTAGCCGTGGCATACTCAGGCAAACATGGTACATTCCGTGTGTTGGACTTTTCCCCGGGTTAACGTGCTGAAATCCCTAATCCCAAAATGACGGTTCCATTTAGTTAGAACACTAGTAAATATTGTCAAAAAGTTGGATAAATCTACCCATAGGTACATACTAATTGTACATATATCAATGACAAAAGACCATTTCTTTTCTGATTCCATCAATAATTATGTATTGATAATTGAGTTTCCATCAGTACTAATATCTGAAATATGAAATGGTTGTTTCATAATGTGCTGAAGGTGTAAGTTGCATACTTTTTCTATTTTCATTTATTTTTTATGGTAATGAAATATAGCATCTTGGTCTTTCTATTTGACCTGACTATTGTTGATTTAGAGTTGTAATCTTAATTCTAAGTGATTGGAAGATAATTTTTAGGGCATGTGATTATATTACAAAGGTTTATGATATATAATATTAACAGTAATAGGAATAATATATGATTTTAAAACCCAAAGCAACCAATTAAGCATATCAATTTTATTATTTCTGACTTAGAAGAGTGAGGTTAGGGCCCATGTAAGGCAATGCATGCCATAACATGTACATGTTTCACAACCAAATGCTTTGGTCAAATCTATAACATGTATTTTAAAATAGTCGCATCATAAAACTTGTCTAAAGATTTAAAAATTAATACTGATCACAGGAAAAATGAAAGCTACCCACTGATTTTTCTTTTGTGATTTCTTTAGATTAAAGTAGACTTTCAAACACGAAAATATTTCAATAATTAGAAGTTTAGCTATCTATACTTGTCACTTTGGCTTTTAAAATAACATGTTCACCACCTGAGTGAACTCTCACTAATAACTGGCCCACTTCAAAAGAGTAGTTTAGAAAACTAGAATCACATAGAAAGACACAGGAAAGTATAGTATTTGCCTGAATTGTTGTTGACGCGATTTGTAAGTCAACACAAGATAAATGACTGCTAAATTGGTAACAAGATTAACTTTTTGCCCCCTCTTTGATAAAGAAAAATTTTCTCTAATCTCATGCTGGATGTCACAAAAGCTACCGATGCTTTGAAGTTAATTTCTGAAACTGAAACTGCTTTTTTGAATTTATGGATGCTGTCTTCTGCATGCAGGAGCGGTAAGGATGTAGTGCTCTGCTAACCATAGTTGTTGCTTTTGTTTTCTCCTTTGCTTCCTACAACATTTACTGCACATGCAAAGGGTACCTTAAGATGTTTGATATACCCCCTGGGGCTAGACATGTGTTAATCCAAGAAGACGAGGCTTCTCCTCACATTCTTGGTAAGTGTTGCCGTCTGCTGGCTCTGCTATAACATGCACTGAAACCCTGAAATGTCAAAGAAACCGTACACATAGATGAGTGTATGTATATGTGTATACATACGTATGGAAGAATCAAAATTATATATACATTAATTGAATTAATTGAATATTATGTAGTTTTCGTTGGTCATTTCACCCAACTATTCTTATTTTAAAACAAGAAATGTCCAAAAATAGAGCTTTAAGTTTTGGTAGAAATGAATTGGTTCGAAAAAAGAAATCATTTGACAAGTTTGTATTTGTTATGCATGTTTCGCTCGTATTAGCAGATAACACAAAGAAATCTGTTAATAAAATGTATTAAATTAAGGAATAATAGAAAAATTCATCATATTCATGTTGAGAAGTGAGTTCTGATATTTTGATTGATGCCATACTCCATGCAACCCCTTATTTTTAATGCATTTTATTTAAGTTCTTTGGCTGAAAACATCCACAGGTGATTTTACTATTAATAGTCGAATGTTAAGTTGTTCTGACATCTGACATGTGTCAGGTTTTTGACTAGCACATGCAAATTTATTTGCAGGGCTGATTATAATTTCCAAAAGAAGTTCTTTTTCTCTTTTATGAGAAATATAGCCATGTAGAAATGTCACTTGAAGGGGGTTTATATTTAAAACGTATGTTCAAGTGTAAACATAACCTTGACATATTTCTTTGCCTATAAAAAGCACTAAGAAGATTTCTGAAACTAAGAAATTATCTATCAACCCCATAAAGATTTGTAGCAAATTTTATGTGTGACTTTAAAAAGATGAATTGTTTCATGGTATCTCATAGAATTTTTTAATATTTAAATCATATTCACTACTAGATGTCATAACAGTATAGCTGTCAGCCATAGTTCTCTCATCAGTATTTAAAATTCCTTATTTTCATCCTAGAATTCAGATTATTATCCTTAGAAAAATGATACTAGTTTAAAAGCTCAAGAGGAATAAATGTATTTAATTAAAATTACTCATGTTTTCTACACATTTTCAATAATGGTAGTAACTTAGAAAATTTTGTTTCCTCACTTATTGTTATATGCTGGTGAGAACTTCCAAAATTTAAAATCCCATGTATCTTCTACATACTAATGTGGCATTTTATTTTATTTTATTTTATTTTATGTAGTAGAACTATAATACATTAAGAATTCTATCAGCATTAAACAGATTTTTCTAACTATATAAGTAGCTGATGTAGATTTGGAATTTTACAATCATAAGAACTAAATTGTTGGCCCGAAATTAAGTTACTTCAGCTATGTTGGGTGGCTATAAATATTTTGACCAACATTAAGGAAATACATAGTAAAGAAGCCATTGTGCTATATGCTATCCTAGCATAAATTGTTTGTGTTAATTATTGGAGAAGTAGCCGTTATTGTCAAAATGTTCCCAGCCTTCTAAGGAAATGTACAGGATGAATGGGTTAGAAACCATTCACCTCTTTGACAATGTTTTCAAATGGGAATATTTGCAAACATTACTTTTGCCTATTTAACCATCTTGCCGTTGTTTTCGACTAGTTAGGAATGCTTCTTGAGAGGTTTGAATGCCTAATGAACAAAATGGGAGTAATATCACAAGTAACACTCATTTTGATTGCTTGATACTAACAAGAAAACATGGTCATTGATTTATAGAAAGGAGTAGACTTTCTATGAGTCTTTAACACTGTAATATGATAAAATAAATTGTATGTCGATTGCTCATTTTCTTTCCTTTAGCGATTAAGAACCAGGCCACAGGCCACTATATTTTAAATGGCAAAGGGGAGGAGGCCAAGTCGCGGACCTTCATAGACCTTGGTGTGGAGTGGGATTATAACATTGAGGATGACATCGAAACTCTTCACACTGACGGCCCCTTACACGACCCTGTCATTGTTTTGGTATGTGGCATCACCGGCTCATTATGTAGTTTATAATTTTATAATTAATTCATCTGAAAACACTTGGACCTTGAGCATTGAATATCTAGTTGTTTGTTTTTTATAATTCTATTTATCTCCCCTCTACTCTTTGTATAACATTGTCAAATAGTTTATTATATATACATTATAAACTGAATGATACAGTATTATGATTTTTTCACTTAAGTAATCAGTTATCTTTTAAAGACAAAAAAAAGTACATTTTTATATTTATCCACCTGTTTACCGTTTCTGATGCTCTTCATTCTAACTTGTAGGTCTAACTTTCCATCTAGGGTCATTCACCTTCAGGATAAAGAATGTCCTTTAGCCCTTCTCATGGTGTGGGTGTACTAGCGAATAATTCTCTCAGCTTTTAATTACCTGAAAGTATCTTTAATTCACCTTCATTTTTGAAGGATGTCTTTGCTGGATATAGAGTTTGGGGTTGCTATTTTTTTTTTTCCTGCGACACTGTGTAGATGTTACGATCTTGCAGGGAGTTCAGTGGATTTGGGGGCTGAGCGAAGAAAAAGACGTGCCCGCCAGGTGGCAGTAACACACACACAAGCGTTATTTGGGTGAGGCCTTGGCAGCTTTGCATGTGGGGCCACCACCCAGAGACAAGAAGGCCAAGGGAACTCCTGAGGCAGAGGGGAACGGAGTGGCGGTTTATGTGCTCAGGTGATGGCCTCCAGTAGCATAGTGGAGAGTCCGTGGGTCCCAGAGTTCCAGGGACAGCCAGCAGTTGGATCCTTTACAGCCACAAGGTCTTATGTATACCTAGCAGACGTTGGATGCATTTTGCAGGCCAGCTCTAAATGGCTAAAGCTCCTCTTGTGTGGGCTACACTGAAAACAACCGGATGTATAAAAATTTGCTCTTGGCATCAGTGTGCTTTTGAGCTAAGAGGTCTCAATCTGCGGTGAAGAAATCACGTAGGGGCCATTATAGAGGGGCCATCTTTTACTCGTGTGTGTGGCACTTGTCCCCTAGAATCCAACATTTATGACGAGAAGCCTCATTTAAATTGCTGCTGTGTATGGAATGTGTCAGTTGTCTCTGGCTGCTTTTTTAAGATTTTTCTCTTCTTTCTTTTTGTTTGTTTTGTTTGTTTAGCAGTTTGATTACGATTCACTTAGTTTGTTGTGTTTTTTATATGTATTATGCTTGGGGTTCACTGAGAACGTTGGCTCTGTAGGTTGATGCTTTTCACTCAGTTTAGGTAAATTTTCCATTATGTCTTCAAGTTAGTTGCTTTTTTCTCCCCATCTCTCTCCTCTTTAGTCCTGGGAGACTCATTTACATGTATGTTAAACAGCTGAAATTGTTCCACACGTCTCAGGCTCTGTTCATCTTTTTATAATCTTTTCAAAAAATATGTTTTTCGGATTGGATAATTTCTGTTGATCTCTGTTTAAATTCAGTGACTGTTTCTCTTATGTGATCTCCAATCCTATCTGGTGAATTTGAGCCTATCCAGTACATTTTTCATGTCAGATGGTGTACTTTTTTTCCATAAAATTTCCATTTTGTTCTTTTTTTCTTCTTTTTGTCATTTCCATTTTTCTGCTACATTTCCATGTACGTTCAGTCATTATGCCTAACTTATCCTTTCATGTCAGTCTGTTTCTATTGCCTGATTTTTTTTTCTTTTTGATTATGGATCACATTTTTCCTGCTTCTTACAATTTTCGTCTTATACAGTAGACTTTATGGATGATAAATTGTAAGGTGTTGGGTTTTGCTCTAGCAGGCAGTTAACTTGTCATCCGATGCTGCTGATCCTTTGAGACCTGGTTTTGTTCTTCATTAGGGCTGGTCTGTTTCAATGTTGTCCTTATTCTTATGACACGGCCTTTCTGGTGCCTTAACAGAGTACCTGAAGTATTAGGGGGGCGTCTTCACTGAGGCCGGATAAGAATTAGCACTCTCGCCCTGTTGAGTTCCACCCTATCTGAACTCCGGTGTCTGTCCCATTGCCAGCCCCAGAGCAGCCACTCACTGTGGACCCCACGATGTCTTGGCCTCGGCATGCCCGGACCAGCCCTCAGTCAAGGACTTGTGCAGCCTTGCACGCCTCTATGCGGCAGCCTGCCCTGCGAGTTGCAAACTCTAAGCTCTATCTCCTCAGCTCCTGGAGATGCTGGCTGGGCTCGAGCTCCTCCTCCCTGTGCTGGAATCCAGGACCTGGCCCCTGTCAGGAAGGAAGACCTGGCTTGTTTCTCTTCTCACAAGGGTCGTTGTCCTCTGCCACCGTTATCCACTGCCAAAAAACGTTCCCTCATGTCTTCCATCCAGTCTGATCATTTTTGCCTTTTTTGATATCAGGAAGGTAACTAACTCCATTACTTCCTCTTGGATGAAAGCAGAAGACATCGACTTGATTTGTCTTACTGGATTCTGTTTGTATGCAGAATTTATATTTATTGGATTCCCTATAAAAGTATACTAATCTAAAATCAAATTTTCCCACTCAAATCAAATTTTCCCATTCAATTTAAGTCTTTTTTTCTTTGAAAATTTTTTCTCTTTTCAAGTGTCTGTTCAAAACTTCTGGCCGTTGTTAAAAAGATGTTTTTATTTTTCTTGAGTTTTGAGAGTTCTTTATATGCTAAATATAAAACCTCTGTGAAATATGTGATTTGCAGATATCTTCTTCTAGTCCATGGCTTGTCTGTTCTTTCTCTTAGTAGTTTCTTTCATGGAGCAAAAAAATTTTAGCTTTACTGAACTCCAATTTATCAATTTTTCGTTTATAGATTGAGATTTTGGTGTTATGAAAGAATATTTTGCCTAATCCAATATCAAAACATTTTCTTCTATTTTTTTTTTTGGTAAAAGTTTTATCGTTTTACATTTTACATTTAGGTTTATGAAGCATTTAGAACCATTTCGAGTTAATTTTGTATAAAATGTTAGTTTCTTAGTTTTGAAAATGGATGTCAATATTAGTTACCTATTGCTGCAAAACAAATCACCTCCAGATTTAGTGGCTAAACACAAGCAACGTTTATCTCATAGTTACTGTGGGTCGTGTGTCTGGAAGCAGCTTAGCTGACTTGTTCTGGTGCCAGGTATCTCATGAAGTTGCCGTCAGCTGGGCTACGGTCCCCTCAAGGCTTGACTGGGGGTGACTGTGCTTCCAGGCTGAGTCACGTGGCTGCGGAAAGGCCTCAGACGATTGGTCCCCGCAGTCTTCCAGGGGGTGGCTGGCCGTCCTCCGTTCCTGGCCACAGGAGTCTCAGCATGGCA